TCTTGACCTCGTATCACAAATTTATGCTGTGTGAATTACAATAACTGAAAACTACATCACTTTCGGATAATTCGTTTATGTGAAAAATACACGTATCAATTCCAATATTTCTAATTTGAATAATGTGCTTGTTTTTTTCCCATATACATCTAATCTAAATTGTAACTTGAGGCGGTGCATAAAGCAGATATTGTTATCTTCACTAGACTTTGTTTCATTTCAATAATTTGTTTAATTTGAAAACAAAAATTACTTTAAAGTACTGATAGATAATCCATATATTACTCATATCTATAATCCGGATTTATTTCTTATCAATATTCCGTATAAAATTGAATACACTTTAAGAATTTCACTGACTGCCGAAGCCGTCGTTTTCACTTATATTAATTAGGCATTTAAACTACAGGGGCTTCTTTGTAACGTCGCTGGAGCCAAGAAAATTAAGGTCATCACGCTCACTCGGTGTTATTCTCGGTTCTTTGCAGCGTTCACTGAACAGTCTGCAGTATATAAAACTAATGTATGTCTGATTTGCATTCTGTGCAATGTGTTTTGCCATGGTTGGAACAGTACTTGCCTTAGCATGTATACATTGTGTACTATCAGCCAATTCAAAGAGAATTATTCTAATCTGACAAGTTTGACTTTAAAGGGACAGCAGCCACAAACTTTAAGAATATTTGCCATTATTTCAGTTTAGAGTAAAACATTCCCTACGTTGTTGTGGTTATTGTGGGGTACTTATTATCAAATTGCTATAATTGGATAATAATCAAAATCAAGCGAAACTCTCGTAAGCTGCCCATGCACCGATTGTAATATAGCTCAAGGACCCAATTGTACATCGTTGTGAGATCATTTTAGCGAATCATTATAATCTTTTGGGAAATGATAAGATTTCGGTGAATATGGTTATAATTCAACACTGGACAAATGTATAATCACATTAGTGTGCACTGTTAAATCATGCGTTAAAAATAAATGAATAAAAATACGAATGTCCCTTGAGTAGTTGATGGTACAATACTGTATAGACTGACATTATGCTTTTTGAAGTGTGAGTTTTAAAAAAACTCATTGTCATGCAGCACACAGTCGAATTTTGTGTGAACGAACAATGTATATTTGATACACATCTAGTACATCGCATGGGACCCACACCAAGCATAACACAGTGCGACACCCTGGATGATTCAATGTTTGTAAGTTAGGGATTTAAAAAATTCCATCTCCATTTTGAGGTTTATAGTAGTCATAGTAACCAGCATCTTGCAATGGGAATTGCATTGTCATAATGGAGTAATTCCAAGAAATTCAGTTGCCATTGTACTGCAGTGTCTTACTAATTCCTAATTCACAAAACACAAATTTAACGACTCACTTCTCTAACTCCTGCATTTTCTGCATGCTGTATTGACAAGCGAGTCAAATGATCAAGATGCAACCAATAAATAAATCAACCGTGAATACATTTCAATTGCCACAGTACAGGGATTCTGTAGATGACAAGATTGTGAAACTCGTAAGGTCACACATCTTGGAAAACACCGCAAATGATTCTTTCCAGCTTTCAATGTGATTTCTGCATCCATTCATCACTGATTATTGAAATTCAATGCAGTCGTTTCACACGCTCAAAAAATAAAACAGTGACCAAATCATCACTATTCCTCTTTTATGCTTTTAACACATTGTTTAATTAATTACAAATTTATCGCTAGCACCATCTTTTGTTGATAATATCTAAATTAGAAATGAATCGCCAGCATGGCCCAGTCTGCCAGAGTCTATGTTCATACAACTTGCACATTTTAACACATTAGTTTCCATGCCTTGTTCCCAAGCTGCCTGGATGAAGCTACATGCTAACACTCAGTGAGAAATAATACTATTGCAAACCTTTATGCAGATATAAATTAAGAAATGTTCATTAACAAATAGCAGAGGACATTTGATCTTATTTTTAATCTTAATAAGCTTAGTGCTAAGGTATAAATTTTTCTTAATGCTAAAACAGCCTGGGCTAGACAATTCACATGAAATTTTTAATGATCAGATAATAAAATTATGAAATTTTTAACAGTGGGATAACAAAATTGGGATTGAAGCCAGCTTTTTTTGTATGCAAGTGCAAACATGGTGTATCTCAATGACTGTCCTCGTCTATTACTTGACACAGAGTGAAAGAATAAAACATTGATCAATGAAAACACAGTAGGTCAAGAGATTGACCCGGATCCCATTATACTTGATTAAGTTCTTTTATTCTGATGCCCAAACCTAATAATCAAGACTCGCCTGATTGCAGTAAGTTATCATTATCTCTCGCAGTATTGGACATTTTGACGTCAGACGTGTTTTTTTTCATGTCGTGATTTATCAAACTGAGTAGGCAAGTGTCACTGTATTAGTGTGTATAAACTCAAATAGATTTGAGTGATTGGCAATTTTTTTTTCTTCAAAAAATATAACTAATTGGTATTTAAGTTAGTTTGCGTCTAGACCCTAGAGAAGTGTGAGGTCAATGGTTTGTATCAAAAATAAAAAAAAAAGATGACGAGATAACTATGTTTGTCAACTGTCCTAGTATGACTTGAATTTCTCCACCTTGCACATGCACTTGTATGGGCATTCATCAGTGACACTAGGCATACACAGGTGGCACTGGGCATACATGAGTGCATTGGGCATACAAGAATGGCATTGGGTATAGATGGCTGCATTGAAAATACAAAGATGGCATGGGAAAGAAGAGAGTGACATTTGGGTATTTACCAGTGGCACTGGGCATATAAGGATAGCATTGGGTATACATGGGTGACATTGGAAATACAAGGATGGCATTTGGAAGACGAGAGTGACATTTGGGTATTTACCAGTGGCACTGGGCATATAAGGATAGCATTGGGTATACATGGGTGACATTGAGAATACAAAGATGGCATGGGGAAGATGAGAGTGACATTTGGGTATTTACCAGTGGCACTGGGCATATAAGGATAGCATTGGGTATACATGGGTGACATTGAGAATACAAAGATGGCATGGGGAAGACGAGAGTGACATTTGGGTATTTACCAGTGGCACTGGGCATACAAGGATAGCATTGGGTATACACGGGTGACATTGGGAATACAAAGATGGCATGGGGAAGACGAGAGTGACATTTGGGTATTTACCAGTGGCACTGGGCATATAAGGATAGCATTGGGTATACATGGGTGACATTGAGAATACAAGGATGGTATTTGGAAGACGAGAGTGACATTTGGATATTTACCAGTGGCACTGGGCATACATGTATAAGGATAGCATTGGGTATACATGGGTGACATTGGAAATACAAAGATGGCATTTGGAAGACGAGAGTGACATTTGGGTATTTACCAGTGGCACTGGGCATATAAGGATAGCATTGGGTATACATGGGTGACATTGGAAATACAAGGATGGCATTTGGAAAACAAGAGTGACATTTGGGTATTTACCAGTGGCACTGGGCATACAAGGATAGCATTGGGTATACATGGGTGACATTGGAAATACAAGGATGGCATTTGGAAGACGAGAGTGACATTTGGGTATTTACCAGTGGCACTAGGCATATAAGGATAGCATTGGGTATACATGGGTGACATTGGAAATTATACAAGGATGGCATTTGGGATACGAGAGTGACATTTGGGTATTTACCAGTGGCACTGGGCATATAAGGATAGCATTGGGTATACATGGGTGACATTGAGAATACAAGGATGGTATTTGGAAGACGAGAGTGACATTTGGGTATTTACCAGTGGCACTGGGCATACATGTATAAGGATAGCATTGGGTATACATGGGTGACATTGGAAATACAAGGATGGCATTTGGAAGACGAGAGTGACATTTGGGTATTTACCAGTGGCACTGGGCATATAAGGATAGCATTGGGTATACATGGGTGACATT